TCTAATAAAGAAGGACCCTCAAACAAAGCTGAAATTGTCTCCACAATCAGCCCAAAAGCAGACTTACTCACACTCAGTCCACTTAACAAGTCACAGGAAATTTTACCCAGACAAATAACTGTTAAACATAATGAAATGACTAAACTCCAACCAGAACAAAATGGACCCAAAGCAAATGAGATATTGATAGATAGTACTGCTTCCGGTTCCAACAAAAGTAAAGACAAGACAGCTGAACAAAATGCATGTATTCAAAAGTCCAGAATTGACAAAGACACATGTACCATTCCCAAACTTGATAAAAAGCCTTGTTTAAGCTCTGGTATAAACTTAGATACAGTTCATGACAGACCCAACATTGGTTCCAATACACTACCCCCATCTTTACCTTCATCTAAGTTAGACACACTCACAGAGTCAGAACTTGACCCTGGTGCGATCAAGTTTTGCAGTCCATCCAGCCAGCCATGTGAAACCTTTTCAGAAGTTGAAGTATCTAAGAAAATAAATAAAATTCAACCACTTCAAAATGAACTCAAAGCAAAGGAGTTGGTGATGAATACAGCCACTCCTGATCAAAACCAAGCTAAACACAAGGAATCTGGCCAAAAATCACCTCCATGTACACAAAAATTGGTATCAGATAAAGATGAAACTAAAATTCTCAAAACTGAGGACAAACTCTGTCCAAAACAAGCCATAAATCTGAGCCATGATGCACATGATCTCAGTCCAAAAATACTAACGCAATCGAGCAACAAAGTACCCTCTTCTAGTAAAGAGAAACCTTCAAGCAAAGCTGAAATTGACTCCACAACAAGTCTGAAGTCTGACTCAGATGAATTAAAACCTAAGGAGTCAGTGGTAGATACTGGAGTGCCTGATCACAGCAAAAGTAAAGACAAGGCACAATGTGTTCAAAAGTCTGTACTTGACAAGGATGAAACTAAAGTACTCAAAACAGCAAAGGAACAGTCTTCAAGCACAACCATGAAACCAAATGCAGTCCAAATTACACCCGATACACTCATTAAATCTAGTAACAAAGCAAGAACTGTCCTCACAAAATCAGACTCACTCACCCAATCAGAACCTGACCTAACAAGTGATTTAAGAGGGTTTATCAGTAGTCACGATGCTAACAAACCAACACCAGTCCATATCCAGGGTACTGAGAAAACTCAGCCAGTACAAAATGAACCAAAAGCTAAGGAGTTGGTCATAATTGCTGCCACTCCTGATCCCAGCAAAAGTAAAAACAAGGCACCAGAACAAAAACTGCCTTTATGTAGTCAAAAGTCTGTACCTGATAAAGGTGAAACTAAAGTTCTCAAAATGGAGAAAAAAATCTCTTCAAACACTGCAACAAATACAGATGGAGGCCACAATATTTCTGATCTCAGCTCTAATACATCACCCCAACCCAGCTTATCTTGTAAGGAGAGCCCTTCAAACAAACTTATCACTTCCTCTGCAACCAGTTCACAGTTGGACTCAAATGAATCCAAACCTTTTTGGTGGTACCATTTGGTGGTAGATTCTGCCGCTCCATGTCAAAACAAAAGCAAAAACAAAAATGCAGATGAAAAATCATGTAGTGAAAAATTTATACCTGACCAGAATAAAGCTAAGGCCCTCAAAACTGAGAATAAGCTTAATTCAAACTCAACCATAGACCCAGATGTAAGTCATGATGCATCTGATTTCAGTCCCCATTCTAGCAACAAAACACCCTTGTCTAGTAAGCAGTGGCCTTCAAACAAAGCTGAAACTGTCTCCAAAACCAGCCTGAAGTTAGACTCTCTCACAAAATTAACCTCGGAAAAAGAAACTAACACTGTAAATACACAAAGTCCTGCTGTGGACATAGTACACACCTTGAAGTCAAACAGTGCACAGACCTCCCTGTTTGAAAACCCTCCTCATCCAAGCATAGAAAATACTGTGGTGCCACATGCAGATTTACACACATCTAATAACATGCAACCTAAAGTCTCTTCTGAAGAGATTTACATCCAGAGTCCTATTGGACTTGGGCACAGTCCCCATTCCTCTGCTTCTCCAACACAGTCTGAAGGTTCCACCTCCATAAATAACACTCTTACCGCAGTGCACTCAAGCACAGCTAATATTTCTTCTAAGTCTCWTCCCTCCACTAGCTCCCCTTCTTCCCTACCTTCTTCCACCTCAACTTTTGCGACACAGCCTGTTCTCACATCTTCTACATCATCTTTTTTGCTTTCTTTTCCACCAGTCCCTAAGCCTCGTACTGTCCACCAGGTTTTAAAAGATAGCAGCGTCCAAAATAGCCAGCCACTGTCAGAGATGATCACAAGTCCGGACTCCAGTGCAGAGATGCCAGTTGTCCACAATGTGCCTCCCCTCCCAAGTTCAGTGCAAATATCTTCTGTAAAAAGAACAGAGGCTGCTCCGGAAGTGCATGACAGTACTGCCAATAACAGAAGAGCTCATAAAGATACAGAGAATCAGACTAAGTTTGAAGCTACTTCAGAGCAAGAACAGTGTGTGAGCTCACAAGAGAAAAAGCTCAAGAAAGATGATAGACAACATTGTGGCACAGCAGAGGAGCTGTCAGTCACTGGAACCAAATTAAAAATGCAATCCGATCTTTTGATTACTGATGCACTAAAGAAAGCTAGTGAAAATACTCAAGAAATAAGTCCTACAGATGTTGATTCCAAGACTTTGATGTTGACAGATTCCAAGACATGTTCAGACTTGGCAACAGTGGCACAGACAGAAAAAAACATGACAAATTGTGAACTTGCTAATTGTATACAGCCCCAAACATATTTTGCAAAATCACATGAGCCTCAGAAGATATTATTTAGTAAGTTTACATTACAAGATCTAGACGTTTTAGAGGGAACAGCGTCTTTAAAAGCTCCAACAAATGGTAAAACACAGAGCCCATGTGTATTCAAAGATGGTGTTGATGACAAAATAGACGTGTGTGCTGGAAATGCACTCAGTCAGCTAAGTAAACAAACACAAGTCACATTGAAACAAACTGATACACACATTACCTTTCAAGAACAGACACAAACAAGCCCAAACACTCCAGAGAAACCTCTGCATTTGGATTTCTCTCTTGCACAAGCGGCAACCTCAAAGTCACCAACCACCAAGCAAAAATCCAAATTAGCTGCTGCAAAATCTCCCACTTCTGATGCTTTTCCTTCAGGCTCATCTACCCCAGAATCACAAAAATCACCACTCAACCTCCAATCATACTTGCTGGATGTTCAATCACCTATGTCTGACACTAGTGATGGTTACTTCTCACCAAAAGAAGGCTCTGTTTTCTCTAACACATCTGAAGAATTTTATGAGTGTTGTGACTCTCCTTTGAATGAGCTCCTCCTGAACTCAACTGATTCTCATAACTATGAGAAGAAGGATGATCGTATCAGTCTCACAAACACTAGCACTTCTTCTACAACCACAGACTCTAGTCCTGTACGCTTGAATTCTAGCACCACTGCTACAACATTAAGTACTGCAGACCAAAATACGTCAAACACTGAGGTTGGTCTTTTGTCCAAGACTACTGGAGTCATGTCATCCTTGCTCCAAATAAATAAGCAAAAAAATGAGACCAAGGAGGACAATAATGCAAAGAACAAAGAAGATGAAATACAGGTGAAAAAGAAAACCACAGAGAAGCTGAGCCAAGAGACCCAGTGGACTGAGGAGATAAACAATCAAGAAGCTATTAGAATCATGAGTCATTCACAAGATGATGATTTAACAGAAGTAGTAGCCAAAGGCAATAAGGCCCAGACCTCAAAACAAAAGAGAGCAATAATCAACTCAGCAGCCAATGTGGTCAACGAAAGAGGTGATGAAACTGGTGACCTTAAATCAGAAGAGGTTTCTTTAAGAGACCGACCAGAAAAAACATCTTCACAAAAGGAGGAGGTGCTGAACCAAGGGTCACGAAAACCCAGCAATGAGGAGAAAAGAGGAAGACCGTCTACCAAGGGACGCAAGGTATAAATAACAAGAAAGCATATGTTTTATTTTCATTTAAAAAAATGCTAATTTACATCACTCAAAATTTTCACAAGAACAATTAAGTATTTTTGGAAGCATAAGTAATGATTTGGCAAGTTAGACTTTTTCTAATAGAAATACTAAAATACAATTTGTCTCAACTGAATTTCAATTAAAATGTCACACCAAAACTTTACCTCTCTTTGGGCTGCCACCTAATCGTGGTGGAGAGGTTTGAGTGTCCCAATGATCCTAGGAGCTATGTTGTCGAGGGCTTCATGCCCCCAGTAGGGTCACCCAAAGCAAACAGGTCCTAGGTGAGGGATCAGACAAAGYACAACCCAAAGACTCCTATGATGAGTACAATGAATGGGGTCAGTGTTCCCTCACCTAGACGCGGGTCACCGGGGCCCCACTCTGGAGCCAGGTCTGCTGTTAGGTGCATAGGCACAAACAACAGTCAGGACCCATCTCCCGACACGTAGACAGAGGGAGGCTACCCTCTCATTCACTGGAGTGAACCCCAATGTACAGGCACTGAGATGGGGGGGCAATAAGTATGCCCACTCCTGCTCTGCACCTCTCAACATGGGCAACTCCAGAGTGGAAGAGTGTTCAACCTCTATCGAGGAGACTGGTTCCAGAGCCAGAGCAATTCGTCGAGGTGAGTCCAAATATATCTAGCGGAACCTCTCAACCTCACACACCAGCTCAGGCTCCTTCCACACAAGAGAGGTGATGTTCCACATCCCTAGAGCCAGCTTCTGTAGCCAAGGATCAGAMCGCCAAGGACCTCACCCTTGACCATTGCCCAACACACAGTGCACCCGACCCCTACGGCCCCTCCCACAGGGGAAGGGGGACCCATGTCTCCTCTTCGGGCTTTGCCCAACTGGGCTCCATGGGTGAAAGCCCAACTACCAAGTGCTCACCAACGTGCCCTACCTCCAGTTCAGATCACCCACCCTTTTTGGAGTTCTTGGAGGGGGTGCAGGAAAGCTCTCCTAACGGGGACTCCCTCGTTCTGCTGGGGAATTTCAACACTCATGTGGGTAATGACAGTGAGACCTGGAGAGGTGTGGTTGGGAGGAAACCCCCCAACCCCGAGCTGTGTTTTGTTATTGGACGTCTGTGCTCATCATGGATTGTCCATGACGAACACCATGTTCAAGCACAAGGGTGTCCATATGTGCTCTTGGCACCAGGAYATCCTAGGCCGCAGTTCGATGATTGACTTTATTGTTGTTTCATCTGATTAGCGGCCGCACGTCTGGACACTGTGAAGAGAGGGGCGGAGCTGTCAACTGACCACTACCTGGTGGTGAGTTGGCTCCGTTGGTGGGGGAGGATGCCGGTCAAACCTGGCAGACCCAAACGCATAGTGAGGGTCTGCTGGGAACATCTGTCAGAGTCTCCCGTCAGATGGAGCTTCAACTCACACCTCCGGGAGAACTTTGAACATGTTCCGAGGGAGGTGGGGGAAATTGAGTCCAAGTGAGCCATATTCCATACCTCCATTGTCGAAGCATCTTACCTAAGCTGTGGCCGTAAGGTTGTCGGTGCCTGTCAGGCGGCAACCCTTGAACCCGCTGGTGGACACCGGTGGTGAGGGATGCTGTCAGGCTGAAGAAGGAGTCCTATTGGGTCTCTTTGGCCTGTGAGACTCTGGAAGCAGCCGAGTCCAAGTCCAAGTGGATTGCGGCTCTGGTGGTCACTGAGGCAAAAACTCGGGCATGGGAGGAGCTCTGAGAGGCCATGGAAAAAGACTTCCATATGGCTTTGAGGCAATTCTTTTCCACCATCCAGCATCTCAGGGATGGAAAGCGGTTCGCCACCAACACTATGGTGGGGATGGTGCACTGCTGACCTCAACTTAGGATGTTGTGTGTTGGTGGGCAGAATACTTCGAAGACCTCCTCAATCCCACCAACACATCTTCCCATGAGGAAGTAGAACCTGAGAACCCTGGGTCGGACTCTCCAATCTCTGGTGCCGAGGTCACTGAGGTGATTAAAAACCTCCTCAGTGGCAGGGGGCCAGGTGTGGATGAGATTCATCCAGAGTTCCTTAAGGCTCTGGATGTTGTGGGGTGGCATTGGTTGATGCCACTCTACAATATCGCGTGGACATCGGGGGCAGTTCCCCTGGATTGGCAGACTGAGGTGGTGCCCCCACCTATTTAAAACAGGGGACTGTAGAGTGTGTTCCAACTATAGGGGGATCACACTTCTGAGCCTCCCTGGTAAGGTCTATTCAGGGGTCCTGGAGAGGAGGGCCCATTGGCTAGTCGAATCTCAGATTCAGGAAGACCAGTGTGGTTTTTGTCCTGGTCGTGGAACAGCGGACCAGCTCTACACCCTCAGCAGGGTCCTGGAGGGTGCATGGGAGTTCGCCCAACCAGTCTACATGTGTTTTGTGAATTTGGAGAAGGTGTTCGACCGTGTCCCTCGGGGACTCCTTTGGGGGGTACTCCGGGAGTATGGGGTACCAGGCTCATTGATACGGACTGTTAGGTCCCTGTACGACCGGTGCCAGAGCTTGGTCCGCATTACTGATAGTAAGTCGGACTTGTTTCCAGTGAGAGTTGGACTCCACCAAGGTTGCCCTTTGTCACCAATTCTGTTCATAACTTTTATGGACAGAATTTCTAGGCATGGCCAAGGTTTTGAGGGGATCCGTTTTGGTGACCTTAGGATCATGTCTGCTTTTTGTGGATGATGTGGTCCTATTGGCTTCATAAGATTGTGATCTCTGGCTCTCACTGGAGCGGTTCGCAGCCAAGTGTGAAGCAGCCAGGATGAGGATCAGTGCCTCCAAATCCAAGACCATGATCTTGAGCCGGAAACCGGTAGGGTGCCTTCTTCAGGTTGGGGAGGAGATCCTGCCCCAAGTGAAGGAGTTTTAAGTATCTTGGGGTCTTGTTCATGAATGAGGGAAGAATGGAGCGGGAGATCGACAGGCGGATTGGTGCTGTGTCTGTAGTGATGCAGGTGCTGTACCGGTCTGTCGTGGTTAAGCGAGAGCTGAGCCAGAAGGCAAAGCTCTCGATTTACCGGTCGGTCTATGTTCTTACCCTCATCTATGTTCACGAGTTTTGGGTAGTGACCAAAAGAACGAGATCGTAGATACAAGTGGCGGAAGTGGGTTTCCTTTGCAGGGTGTCTGGGTTCTTCTCCCTTAGAGATATGGTGAGAAACTTGGCCATCCGGGAGGGACTCAGAGTAGAGCCGCTGCTTCTCCACATCAAGAGGAGCAAGTTGAGGTGGCTGGTTAGGATGCCTCCTGGATGCCTCACTGGTGAGGTGTTCCAGGCACGTCCCACTGGGAGGAGGCCCAGAGGAAGACCCAGGACATGCTGGAGGGACATTGTTTCTCGGATGGCCTGGGAACTCCTTGGGATTTCCCCGGACGAGCTGGCCCAAGGGGCTGGGGAGAGGGAAGTCTGGCTCTTTCTGCTTAGGCTGCTGCCCCCATGACCCGATCCCGGATAAGCGGCAGAAAATGGACGGACGGACCAAAACTTGAGTTAAATGAAGAGACTATTTGCATTTACACATAGTTTGTACATTACAATTACATCATATAATTTATGTCCATTAGATTATTTATTTTGCGCCATCTACCCAGACTAATGAATAGTGCATCAATAGATCACTTAGATTTTGATGTAAAATCAAGTATAAAAAGAATTTTAAAGCCTCATAAGTGAATTAAAATATTGCCACTATCATACATGCACACTGACCTACATGTCCTTTTATTAATCACATGTAATATATGTTTACAAATATAATTGTGTGTAATTGAGTGATGTCAGTATGTTAACCAGTTTCAGCTTTAGCCTTTGTTTGAACTGAAATTACTGTAGTTCTAACATTCTCCGTAGAAAATAAATTGTGTATTCTTGAACTGACAATCCCAAATTAATTCATCTTCCCTTATGTGTTTGCATGAGTGTGTCTGTCACTTCAACACTTGCTACTAACTTGTTATCAGAAATCTTATTGGGAAAATTGACTGCTGCTGCGACTAACATCTTTGTCCCAGCCATGAGTGCATCCACAGACTTTTCCCTCAATCAAAAGTCAGTCCTGTATCTAATAAATCTAGTATTGTTGTACAGTGTGACTTCCTACTACCTTTAAGACCCCACCAAAATCCTGCTAGAAACCATTTTATGTTTTAAAGAATATTTAGTGACACATTTGTTCAGTCTGATGCAATTTTAATAAATGGATTAAAGATTGATAGTTTCACTTGCTGTAGTTCTAAGTCCAATTTCCCTGTGCAACTACCTAATGTTTGTCTCATTTGGCCATTTATTGTACACTTCATCATAAATAATAAATAACAAAGCAATGTTTGTTGGTGCTAAATGTCTTATCTTTGTTTCTACAGGTTTTCAGTAATTCCCCTACACCAGAGCGACATCAGAAGCAGGGCAATGGACCTCCGTCATCTTCCCGACCAGTCAGATCCCAAAGACCCCTTTCAGGCTCTCTGGCTTCTGGGGCTCGTCCTTCCGGAAGTCAGATAGAAAGTAGAGTGTTCTACAGTGGTTTCAACGTTTCGGATAATAAGTCATCTCCTCGCAGACGAGCATCCAGAAGCCCCGCCCCAGTGATAGGGGCTCCTGTTGGGTCCGTTTCCGGTCGAAAACAGGTCTCCCAAGGACTTCTTTCTCGACAGCCTCCGACAGCGCAGATTAGGTCCCGACCTGACCAGTCCCTGTTCCAGGCTCCAGTGCACCAGGGATCATCCTATCTATACACACACTCTAACCTGCAACCTCAGGTCAGTCCTCAAGGCCCGATTCCAAAGGTACAGGCAGCTCCTGAACAGGAGGAAGGGAGGGGTCTGTTTAACCTACCTTTTAGCAGACTCTACAACTTCAGGGGCCTGAGGGACAAATGGACCAAGCCTGCAACGCAGAGTAGGAAAAGCAGCACCGGCGCTCCAGTGAAAGAACCTAAAAGCCCAAGCTAGATCTGGTTCATCATTCAACCTGTCATCAGCTTTTTATGTAAMTGAAACACATACCAGAGGGGGGAAAATTACCTGGCACACATGTTCASTCTCAACACTACATCTGTCTTGAGTTCTGTTCCAGCGGTTCTTTTCACTCTTTTGAAATTCTTCTCGAATTGCAAATTAAAACTAGACACCTGAAGTCTTCCAACTTATGAACTGTGTAAAAACAAAAACCTTGAGCAACTTGTTACCACATCGAGGGATATGAGGGAAACTGTCTGCATCTGTTCTGATGATCAAAGAAATTTGCACATTGTGCCTTTCTCAGCTTAACCCTCAAACTGGACTAAACTGACCAAAACCAACAGATCACAACCTAAAACACGTCTCTTACTGTGCCTTCTTTAAGGTCATCCCTATTTTACAGACTGTTTTATTCTATACKGCAGTTATGATTTTTGTGTACTATAATAGAACTGTATTTTAATGAAGCATGGCTGCATTCCTTGTATATTATTTCACACATTCTGAAGTGGTGTCATGTTAATTTATGTGTATTTATGTTTTTATTTTACTGTGGAAGTAACTAAATTCATAAAAGTGGACTTGTAAAGTGGAGTTTTAACTGGGGATTTCTGCACACTGTATTTGTATCTGTTTTGTTGGATTATATAGAAATTAAATGAAAGTAATAGACCAGCTGCTTTTGAGTTATGTTAACATCTTAATAACTTTAACGTCTTTTTCCTGTTGTCTGAATGAGTACAATGAGGTTGATATAAATTTAGAAACTGAGCACTGCCCATTCTATTCATCGTTTCTAACGTCTCCTACCTGTTGGGACCATTATGTAGTCATATGTTGGGTTTTTGTAATATGAAAGAAAAGAACCAAAGCCGTGGATTTCTTCTTTGTTTAAACCAAATTCCATTTACTTTCTATTTTGGCCCAAAAGACAAAGTCACACTGCCTTCTATGCTAAGCACAAGTTATCAGAGGTAATGAGCACAACAAAAACAACACCGGAAAGACTGGTTACCATAAACACAAATGTAGCTGTCACACAGATTAAAAAGACAGTGACTGGATAAGACCATGACCTCAGTTTTTTATGAGGGAGAAGGAAACATTGACAGGTGACTCATCTCTGAGACATGACAAATGAACCTGACCCCAGTGTGTCATTTTATCACAGTGACTATCTGATGAGGTGCAAATCATGTTTTCCAGCCTTACGTTTAATAAAGTTAATTATACTTAAGAGTTGTTTTTATCAGCCATGAATGCCTTTTGGTGGTTTTAGTTGGAAATGCTGCAGGTTCTAGAGCTGATGGAGATACCACAAGCTTCAGACCTGTCAAAACAGTCCCATCGCCGTGCCTTTTTGGTTTTTGGAAACTAAATATGTCTCGCTTCATGTTGCAGTTCTATCAGCTATGATTCATGTTAGGCATTTTTGGGAGTTGTCCAACTTCTAATGGTTTAAAAGTGCATTCAAATAATTAAATAACTTTTAGTTTTTCATATCTTTATGGTACAGTATCTTGCAACTTATTTTGATATTTTTTCTGTATATAATTGGTACAGTTTTTTTTCTTCTCTTTCCAAGTTTTCCTTTAGGTCATAGGCTGTTTTTGACTCCTTTCAATCTAATTATTTCATCTGATCATTTTCAGAGGATTCCCACATAGCAAAATTTGTTTGATCCAGTTCTGTCCCACACAATGCACTAACACTCAGCCAGACCAAAAAGAATGATGGACCTATGGTGGCCCAGATGTGGTTTGCCAAAACTGGTTCATGCATGGGCCAGCACCACATAAACCAAATAGGCAGATTTGGGCCACATAAACCAAAACACAACTGGATCAGTTGTAATTTGGGTCACATAAACAAAACCACAACTGGGCCTGTTGAGGGACTGTCTGATTTTTGCCACGTAAACCAAACCACAACTAAGCCAGTTGTGGCATTGACAGATTTGGTCACATTAACCAAATCACAACTGGGCCAGTTGAGGGATTGATACATCAGGCCACATAAACTAAAATACAACTGGGCCACTTGTGCTATTGACAGATTTGGGACACATAAACCAAACCACAACAAAGCCACCAGTTGAGGGATTGACAGATTTTGTCCATACAAACTAAACCTCAACTGGGTCAGCTGAGGGACTGACAACTTCAGGCCACATAAAGTAACACACAACTGGGCCACTTGTGGTATTGACAGATTTGGGCCACATTAACCAAACCACAACTGGGCCAGTTGAGTGATTGTCAAATTTGGGCCATATGAACCAAAACAGATCTGGGCCAGTTGTGGCATTTAGAGATTTGGGCCACCTAAACCAAAAGACTGGGCCAGTTAAGGGATTGACATATTTGGACCACATAAACTAAAACACAACAGGGCCAGTTCTGGTATTGAGAGATTTGGGTCACATAAGCCAAACTACAATTGGGCCAATTGATGGTATGACCAATTTGGGCCACATAAACTAAACTACAACTGGGCCAGTTCTGGCATTGACAAATTTGGGCCACATAAACCAAACCACAACTGGACCAGTTGTGGCATTCAGAGATATGGGCATCATAAACCAAAGCAAAACTGGGCCAGTTGTCAATTTACTTGCCATTCTAGAAGTCCACCAGCAGTGCCAGCTTGACACCTGGCCCACAGCTGTCTATAGGATGTTTATTGTAATCATTTTTATTATGACTTTTGTCTAATTAAAATCAGCTTGAACTACTGTTTTCTTAGAGAGAACAATAACTATTAAAGTCAGATTGCTCAGATAACCAAATGTAAAATCATCAGAAGAAAATGACACTTTGAGAAGACCTTCATCCTTCATGGCTTCTGTCAATGGGGGTGATAATTCTTCATCTATTGAATTTTGACCTACCAGCAGTGACTCATCTGACAGAGTGTGTCACAAAGATTAGCATATTTGGGTATGAGGGAGAAAGAGATGATTGTTTCAAGGTGGGACAGTTTCCAAATGAACCATGCTACATAAATGATTTGGAATCAGCTAAGCCAGAACCCCTGGGTGTCCCTGATCTTTAGTTTTGTGTCCATGTAGTGCACAGCATATACAAAAAATCCCTTTGAACCGTTGAAAACTAACAATGTGCAAACAGAAAAAAAAACAGCTTTCTGGGTCGTACTGTGCATCCAGATTTAGGATGAGTCAGACACAGTCAATACATCGAATAAGGAGAATGCTGAGGAGAAATGATGCAGAAAACAATGAGAGAAGAGGACAAAAACAGAAACTATCCCCTCGGTCTCAAAGGCAACTCGAGGACATTATGAGAAACAAAAAGAAAATGCAAATTTGAAATGTGTGGAAGTTTGAAGGCTGATTGCACCACTTGTGCCATCATGCAGCTAAGCCTTTTGAATATTGATACGCTGCATCTAGATGTTCAGCCATTGTGAACCCTGGAAAAACTCACATCCACACTTCAGATACTGTATGGTTTTGTCTGTTCTGCGGCTGTAGTCAATATTTGCAAATACAAAAGCTCACAGGACACTTTTCGTTGAACCCCTCTGGCATACTGTGCTTCATCTCAGCTGTTTTAAACACACTTTGGCTTGTTGTTTGCCTTTCCCTGACAGCGACTGTGGAGCTCTGGAAAAAAGCTCTTCAAGGACTCAAACAAGCACATTTAGAATAAAGCATCTAAAAAGTCATAATTTTAGTTGACATCTCATCTTGTACAGCATTTTTTTCTGAAAAATGAAAAACTTGCATTTGCCATGTTCTTCTGAAGTAGGGTTTTGTTGTTGTTGTTGTTGTTGTTGTTGTTGTTGTTGTTGTTTGAAACCTGTTTGCTGTTGTTTAGAACCAGAAAAGACCTTTCTTTTAAGAAAAAGAAAGTTAATACTGGATGGTTTAGACCAGAGGTGCCCAAAGTGGGGCCCGTGGGCCAAAATTGGCCCGCTGAGCCATTTGATTTGGCCCACCAGCAATTGTCCTGGTTACTAGATTGTAATTATGTTAATATTAAATATAAAATACAAGTAACTACAAGAGACATTTAGATTAGATTTAAGCCCATATATAGATTTGCACACCTTTATAAAACCACATATACTCAG